AGGTGCGCCTGCCGGGCGAGCGCCCGCAGTGGCGCGCCGCCCGCGCTGCGGCGTATAACCCTCCTGGGCTTTGCCGCGCCCTGGCGGACCTGCCCGGGCATGCCGCCCCGGCGCGCGCCTGGCGGCGAGCGCGGGGGGCCCCGCTCGACCCCTGCTGGGAGCGACGTCTGGCGCCCGCGGCGGGGGTCAGCCTGGGGGGCGAGCAGCGGCGCGTGGAGCTTGCGCAGGTCGCGAGGTGCCGGCTCGGCTGGGAAGGGGGACCTTGCCGCCCATCGCCGAGCCCGGCGAGCAGCGGCGAGCGCGGCGGCGCCGCGCCGCCGCCAGGGGTGGACCACGGCGGCGAACCAGGCGTGCGTCGGCGGGCGGCCGCGCGGCCTGCTACGGCATCGGCCTGCCGCCGGGCTTTTTTGACGTGCAGGCCTAGGCGGAGCTTCGCGGCCTGGCCGCCGTCTCCGCCAGCGACTGGGGAAAAGTTCTGGGCGGCTACTTGGGCGTGCTTTCCCTGCGTGGCGACCAGGTCAGCTCTGCGCTGCGCCGTCTGCGGGGACGCGTGCTGCCTGGGGCTGCTTGCTCGGTCGCCGTTCGCGCTTCCCCTGGCCCTCGCGGCCCTCCGCGGGCTCGGCCGCGCCAGCCCTGATAGAGCGCGGGACTCGCAGCCGCTGGAGGTCGTCTGCCTCTGCGCCGACTTCGGGTTCAGCCAGCGTGGCGCCGTGGGGAAGGTGGTGGCGGCTGCGGCCTGGATTGCCGTGGACTGCTGCCTGGGGCCGACTGAGGCCCTTGAACCGGCGGCAGACCGGGTCTCTCTGCCCAGTCGCGCGGGCGACCCTATCGTGGTCACCGTCGCCCCGGCCACGCTAGATGTGCCTGCGAAGATTTTCCAGTGTGGAGCTTCGACAGTTCTGGGCGCGCGCGATCGGCAGTGGGTTTCGCAGCTCGTCCAGTCTCTAGCCTCTCGTGTTCCCACTGGCCCCTCGCTCGGTTTGCAGCTCTCAGAGAGGGAAAAGTTATGCCGACAGTATCGGGGAGCCCACATCTCTGACCAGTTGGCTCTCTCTCCGCACTCGTTTCGGCGCGCTGGCCCAAGTCGCGATGCATAGTTTTTCAAGGATGATGCTGACAGGCTCCGGGCTCGTGGCAGATGGCTCAGCCGATCGTCCGTGCTGCGACATTCCAAGCCCGCAGGCATGCTTCGAAATCGCCCCCGCCTTTCGCGCTAGCAGCTGCAGCAAACTGAGTTTATTCCATCAAGGGAGAAAAAACACCCCGACCGGACAATTGGTGTTCACCAAACGGCCCTGGGCGCTTACTGAAAACAGCCCTGCCCTGTTCGATTCCCCTTTTTGGGCGCGTGTACTGAACGACTTCGCGTGTCGTGGTGGTTATTATGGGGGGGGGGATGTTTTGACCTTCCTTCCACAGCGGCTCCCATCGCAGATCCTGGGGCATACTGCCCTGCCTCGCTCTCGCACTGCTCGGCTCCCACCCTCGGTGGCTCGCACCAGACGGAGGTCTGGCACTGCGGGATCCTCCTGCCTCTTTTCTTCCAGGGTGCCATCCCCTCCAGGATCCTGCGTTGCCGTGGGTATAGTCGTGGTCCGAGGCCTCCGTCTTTCATCCCTTGTGGGCTTGCGCCCGCTGCCGCCCCCGTCCTCGCGTCGGGGTTACAGCCGCTCCGCGGTGTAAAGGCGGTTTAGGGACGGCACGATGATGATGATGATGATGATGATGATGATGATGATGATGATGATGATGATGATGATGATTATGATTATGAGGATGCTGATGCTGCTGATGATGATGATGATGCTGCTGATGCTGCTGATGATGATGCTGATGATGATGATGATGAGGATGAGGATGAGGATGAGGATGAGGACGATGATGATGATGATGATGATGATGATGATGATGATGATGATGAGGATGAGGATGAGGATGAGGATGAGGATGAGGATGAGGACGAGGAAGATGATGAGGATGATGAGGATGATGATGATGGCGATGCTGATGATGAGTTGATGATGGTAGGGGTGATGGCGATGCCGGCGACGAGGATGTGGATGATTGTGATAATGCTGAGGGTGATGATGATGATGATGATGATGATGATGATGATGATGATGATGGTGCTGGTGGTTGTTGTTGTGGTTGTGGTGATGATGATACTGATGCTGTTGCTGCTGCTGTTCTTGATGCTGATGCTGCTGCTGATGATGATGACGATGATTTTCCTGATACGGTGATTGAGCTTCCGCTGATGATGATGCTATATTGATGTTGCTGATGATGATGTTAATGATGATAGTAATGATGATGCGTGGTGGTGATGGTGCTGTTGACTATTGTCATGACGATGATGGTGGTGGTTGTGATGATGATGTTGTTGACTATGGTTGGGACTATCGTGGTGGTGGTTTTGATGATGATGGTGATGGTGATGATGACGACGACGACGACGTGGAACATTTTGAAAACCACCCGCCATCAACCCGCGAACATTTCCAATGTTCAAAGACGAATGTGCGCGGCGCTAATGCAACAACCGCATTTTGAAAGCGACCCGCCCTTAACCCGTGAACTTGTTGTAAGTGTTTAAACCGAATGTGCGCGGCGTTAAGGCGAGAACCACATTTTGAACACCACCCGCCCTCCATCTGTGAAATTGTTATGTGTTTTTTTTGCCCCAGGGTCGCACATTGTGAGGAAGTCTAAGGCGAAACGCCTGGCCCGCCCTTTCGACCGCCCTCGGGGCCCTCGGGGTGCGGCAGGGAAACAATATTTATAAGGAGAAGGAGTGGAGGAGGAGGAGGAGGAAGAGGAGGAGGAGGAGGAGGAGGGGGACGAGGAGGAGTGTCGCAGAGGAGTGTCGTGGAGGATGAGGATGTAGAGGGGGATGAGGACGTGGATGAGGATGAGGATGAGGAGGAGGATGAGGAGGAGGATGAGGAGGGGGAGGAGGAGGAGGAGGATGGGGGAGGAGGACCAGTGTAAATCCAAGAGCCATCAACGATGTTGGAATAACCCTTCCCTCCAAACTCCCTCTTCATAGGCCCCTACAACGGTTCATTTCCACTAAGGGAACTGCCTCTTCGGAATACAACCGTTTGACGACTCTGAAGCATGTCAATTCATTGTTCTCGGGGTTCCAACGCCACGGCTCAACCTTACGGTTGAGTCTTGACGATCCTAATTCGTGCCAGAAGGCCATTCTTAGGACTTCAACACCGCGAACCAACGTAGCTGTTGCACCCTCATGGTCCTGAATTCTTCCAAAACGCCATTTCTGGTACGTTGGCCATGGGATTTCTTGGAACTCTGGCCAATTGTGTAAACGAGTATGCGCGGCGCTAAGGCGACAACCACATTTTGAAAATCATCCACCCACCCTCAATCCATGAAGCTCCTGCATATTTTTGAAAAGAATGTGCGCGGCGCTAAGGCGAGAGTCACATTTTGAAAACCACACGCCTTCCATCTGTGAAGCTGTTGCTACTGTCTAAGCTTCAGAATCTTCACAGGTGAAGAAGCCTCAGGCGAAATGCTTTGCCCGCCCCCCAAAATGGCCTCGGGGTGCGACAGGGAGAAACTATTTACAAGGGGAAAAGATCGAGGAGGAGGAGGAAGAGGAGGAGGAAGAGGAGGGAGAGGAGGAGGAGGAGGAGGAGGAGGAGGAGGAAGAGGATCAGGACCAGGAGGAGGAGGAGGAGGAGGAGGAGGAGAAGGACGAGGCTGACTAGAGAAATCCTTGCATTATGCAACATCGATGCAGCATGACACCCTTCTGTCCCAAGTCCTCTCCCCATAAGTCCATGCAAGCCTTCCTTCTGACTATAAGAAGGACTCGTTCAGGCGATAGCCCCGTTTCGAAAATGAACGGCCCTACATCCATCTAGCGAGTATTCTTGAATGCGATACGGTATGATCGTTTTTTTTTCAGCGAGGAGTCCAGCGAGATCCCAGTTTTTTGAAAGGGCTGCCATCATCTGTTTAACTGTTGCACAAGTGTACACCTCTGGTCAGTATGAAAGGCTGTCTCAAGCGAGGTTCCCATCCAAAAAGGAAGTGTCCTCCCTCGTGCATATGTTCAAAGGTTCAAGCGTCTGGCCTTGGAAAGTTTCATCCGCCTGAAGCGAAATACCCGTTGTGATAAGGAACTGTCCTCCATCCCTGTAGCCCTTGCAAGCTTTCAGACGAACGTGCGTGGCGCTGCCGCGAGAGCACTATTTTGAAAAGGAACCGGCCACCAAGCATTAATCGGCTGCAAACTTTAAGACAGACGTGCGCGACGCTGTGGCGCGAGCTCCGTTCTGAAAAGAAACCGCCCTCCGTCCTCGAAGCTGTCTCAAATCGTTGGAGACGTATTTGCGCGGTGCTGGTGCGAGTGCCCTCCTTTGAAAGCCGCGGCTCTCAGGCGGGAGCTCCATTTTGAAACCGACCCCCTGCATCCTTTCAGCTGCTGCATATTCCGAGCTTCAAAACCCTGCGTGGTGAGGAGATCTCAGAACGCCTGGCCAGCCCTACGGACATGTCTTGGGGTGCGACAGAGGGGAGTTATCCAGTAGGAATTGAGACGAAGGAGGAGGAGGAGGAGGAGAAGGAGGAGGAGGAGGAGATAAGATGATATAGAAGGGGATGAGAAGGACCGACCCTAGCAGTGCTATCGGCAGTGACCCCAGCATTGGTCCCAAAGTCGACGCCGGGTGAAGGGCGGCGAAGCGATTTCCAAGCAAGCTGCGGTGAGACATGTAGCGAGGAGAATTGAGACAAGCACGGGACACAAGTCAAATCAGGCCTCGGATCTGCCCAAGTAGCCCTCACAAGAGAGCCCATATTTGATGCTTCACTTGCTCCCGCTGGCCAACACACGTATTCTGGCGAGCTGTTCTGAGAACAGGTGCCGAGCGTACTGACTGAACCGCCGAGGAGAAGCCCAGGGCCACCTCGCTTCGGGCTCGAGCGTTTTTGGCTTCCGGCGCGCCTCCGGCCTCTCTCTCCGCCAGGCGTGCCGGTGCGGAGCGCCGAGGCTGCCGCGATGACGCCGCGGTCGCCCGAGGACGCGTCGTCGCCCAGCACCGACCTCCCCCTCTGGCCCGCGCAGCCCACCTCGCCGAGCGCGGCGAGGTGCCGCGGCGCCGCTTCCCTGCAGGGCCGGCGCGACTCCTCCGCGGGCGCCTCGCGCCTCCCCGGCCCGCTGGAGCGGCTCCGGGTGCTCTGCAAGAACCCGCCGGAGTTCCCGGGCGGCGGAGGTCGGGGGCGGAAAAGAGGGGGGTGTTGACTGGGGGGGGTGGATTTCATGGCGCGGGCCATGATATTTCCCCAGATCTCATGGCGCCTCTTCTTGTTTCATTACGTCCCTGGCCCCCCCGCTGGGCCGCGCACATGCCGCCGGTCATGATTTGCACCCCCCCCTCTTGGACACCCCCCTCTTGGCCGCTCCCGAGGAGGCGCCGAGGCCCTCTCCTTTGGCGGCCCCGGCGCTCCCGCGCGTCCGTCGAGGAGCCACCAGCCTCGAACTTATCCCTAGCCCTAAGATTGACACGCTGAAAGGAGATGGCAATCTTAGGGATACGCCCTCAGAAACGGAGGAAGTCCCTAGGATCGCCATCGTGATGGGGCGATGCCCAACATAGGGGTAGGGATATGTTCCAGGCTGGTAAAGGAGGGCCTCCACGACGCTGCTGCCGAGGCTCTCCTCCGCCGGGACGCTGCAGCCCCTCGCGGGCACCTCCAGGCCGAATTCGGGCGTGTCCCTCTACAGGGGGAAAAAGTCAAAAACAGTCAAGAAATAGTCTGGGGACGATTTGTTTGAACATTTTTTGAATATTTTGGGGTATTTTTTAATACATGTATATTCTTCTTCTTCTTCTTCTTATTATTATTACTAGGATGATGATTATTATTATTATCATCAGTATTATTATTAATAATACTATCACTATTACTATTATTACCATTACCATTATTAGCATTCTTATTACTATTATTATTATTATTGTGATTATTACTACTATTTCTATTATTACAATTCTTCTTCTTCTCATTATTATTACTATTATTATTATTGTTCTCATCGTTATTATTACTATTCTTCTTCTTCTTATTCCCCATATCCTAAGGATTGGGGTTCTTGTTATTACTCTGACGCCTCCCACTCCTCCTCCTCCTTCTTCCTCCCGCCTCCCGCCTCCCTCCTCCCAACGATAATCACCAGATAAGACAAGACAAGATAAGATAATACAAGATAAGATAAGACATCACAATATATGATAAGGTAAGATAAGATATATGACAAGGTAGGATAATAGATAAGATAAGACAGCCTATGGAGTAATAAGATAAGACAAGATATGATGCGATCAGATGAGTTGATATAAGATAAGCTAAGACAAGATAAGAAATTTCAAGATAAGATAAGATAGAGGGTAATAAAGGTAAGACAAGATAGGACTCGATAAGATAAGATGAGACTCACTCTCACTCAGACTCGCTCACAGTCACATTCACTCACACTCACACTCTCTCATGATCACAAAACGCTGCCAGGGGCATCATTTGGGAGCCCCAAGGGGGAGCCACCCTGGCTGATCTCACGAGCCCGTTCGCGCCGATTTTGGTGGGACTCCTCAGCTAGAATTGCCGTTTGGCGTCCCCAACATGTATCTCTTGAGAGCCTCATGGTCGCAAAACGCTGCCAGGGGCATCATTTGGGAGCCCCAAGGGGGAGCCACCCTGGCTGATCTCACGAGCCCGTTCGCGCCGATTTTGGTGGGACGCCTCAGCTAGAATTGCCGTTTGGCCTCCCCAACATGTATCTCTTGAGAGCCTCATGGTCACAAAACGCTGCCAGGGGCATCATTTGGGAGCCCCAAGGGGGAGCCACCCTGGCTGATCTCACGAGCCCGTTCGCGCCGATTTTGGTGGGACGTCTCAGCTAGAATTGCCGTTTGGCCTCCCCAACATGTATCTCTTGAGAGCCTCATGGTCACAAAACGCTGCCAGGGGCATCATTTGGGAGCCCCAAGGGGGAGCCACCCTGGCTGATCTCACGAGCCCGTTCGCGCCGATTTTGGTGGGACGCCTCAGCTAGAATTGCCGTTTGGCCTCCCCAACATGTATCTCTTGAGAGCCTCATGGTCACAAAACGCTGCCAGGGGCATCATTTGGGAGCCCCAAGGGGGAGCCACCCTGGCTGATCTCACGAG